TAGATGACCAAATGCTATCTAAAAAGTCTATAACTGTTCTCACTCCCATCATTGATGTAGGACCGTGGTCGGCAAACCGCAGCTTGCGAGCCACATGCGGCTCTTTGGCCCCTTCAGTGTGGCTCTTCCACAAAATACCACGTGTGGGCGTGCACGTACAGTGCGATTAAAACTTCGTGGCCCATGTGCAGAAGTCAGTATTTTGTGGAAGAGCCGGTATTTTGTGGAAGAGCCACACTCAAGGGGCCAAAGAGCTGCATGTGGCTCGTGAGCCACGGTTTGCCGACCACTGATGTAGGAGAATACTGTCTCTCCAAATCCGTGTCAACATTGGGTATTCTAAAGTTAAAAAGAAAAAATTGCTATGTTAATTTGCATTTTCCTGGCTATTAGTGATTTTGTGCCTTTTTTGTGTTTGTTTAGTATTTAGACTGCTCTTCTGCAAACTTATACTTTTTTTGCTGGTTTTTCTATTATACTTATTCTTGCCAATTTCTAGATGCTATTTATATATTATAGAGATATTTTTCCTTATTTATATTTATCTTATCTGTTGGCTTTATTTATATTATATTTATCCATTTCAGAGTTTTCCATTTTGACATGGACAGACAAGCCTCTTTTCCCTGTGTTTTCACTCTTGGCTAAGAAATATCTCCCTGACCCCTAGGTTGTCCATGTATTCTCTTAGATATTCTAGGAAGGTTTTTGAATTTTTTAATTTAAGCCTTTAATCCACCTGGAATTAATGTTTGCATATGATGGATAAGAATTTTATTTTCTTCCAGACTGTTGTTGTGCCAGCCCACTTATTCAAAAGAGTGCTCGACTACTGGATTGAACTATTTTTGTCAAATTTATTTTGCTTCGTAACACCCTTCAGCCACACCTGCCTTGGGCTATGATCAAAGAACACAAATGGCTAATTAAATTTGAAACCAATTCTTTATTCCCCAGAGTGGTGACTGGGTAGTCTCCAACCTCGATTTACTTCCCACCTCACCCCCAATGGCTATAGGAGGCCTGAGATGTGTTCTTCTGGAGAAATTTTAATTCACTTGAAAGCCAGTGCCTCCCTGTTGAGCCTGGGAAATGATAGTAACTTGTGAAATGCCTCCTGGAAGCACAGTCCAGATGCTTTGGCAATAAGTTCTCTCCAGGGAAGAATTTGTTTTAAAATGGTACTTCTCTGAGCTGCCGTGTGTGTGTGTGTGTGTGTGTGTGTGTGTGTGTGTGTGTGTGTGTGTAAGACAGCCTTTCAGAATTCAGGAAGCAGTTGCAAGTTGCACTTAACTTTGGACTCGTTTAACTGAAAGTGCATTTCCCTGTTATTTTTTGGATGACGGGCACACTTTAACATACTATTCATAACATGCATGTGTCCATTGCTTTAAAAATTCCTTAATGACACCAGTAGGTCGTTTTTAAAGACCTAGAGTAAATGTCTCTTACCTTTTTCTTACCACCCCGAAAGTCTTTGGTGACATTGTCTTCCTGGTTCCTCTTAATTCCGCATGCAAGGACCAACGTTAAATCTTTTTAGTAAAAACATCGGGCAACGTGGGCCTCCGGTCTCCATGTCAAAGCCCAGACTGTGCTTAATAGAGGTGAAATGGGGAGAGGAGAGAACGCACAGTGTCCACTCTTCTCTGGGACATTTCTTTACTCCATGAAGTTCGTGTCGAACTACAACCGGGTCGCAACCCTGCATTGGATGAGGAACTGTATTAGGTTGGAGTCGGGCGTGTGGAAAAGTTGTGTCACTTCTCCTTAGATCTGTCCTTCTCAGCCCCTGGGAGCCGGCTCGCTCCCTCCTCTTGCCGTGGGCCCTGCACAGGGTCCAGGTGTCCCCCGGATGGATCAGAAGCTCGTCTGAATGCTCCGCCCCGGGGTCTCGGATCCCCCGCTTATCTCTCAAGTACTGCAGGCCCACCCCGTCCACAGGGGCACAGTCCATTCTTCGCCCTCGGACCTGCCAGCTAGTCCTGGGCAAGGAGAGCAGTGACCATCCAGCAGCCGCCCCTCCTGCTGCAGCTCAGAGTTTCCTAGCTCTTCCCCATCTCTGACTCCTCAGATGATCTCAAGCCCAGAAGAGGCCCCTATACATGTCATATTTAGGACTTACTGAATTCTGTGTAGCTACACTGACCTCATGGGAAGTGGGAATTATTCTGAGGCTGGGGGAAGCCAGCTCAGCGGTAAAATGTTGCTGGGGTTTGGTTGCACCGTTTAGTCACAAGCTGTTGAAATATCACACAAGGATATTTCCCCAAAGATTTTTAGAGAGAGTGGAAGGGTGAGGGAGAGACAGAGAGAGAAACATTGACGTGAAAGAGGCACATCGATTGGTTGCCCCCAACACGTGCTCCTACCGGGGCAGGGGGTCGAGCCTGCAATCGAGATCTGTGCCCTTGACCAGAATCAAACCCATGACCCTTTGTTCCTTGTGCTGACGCTCTAACCACTGAGTAAACCAGCTAGGGCACATCTGATGTGTCTTGAGAATATATTTAGTGATGGATGTGGACAACAGGGGATGAGGGTGAGGGCAGGATTCGGGGGATGAGGGGACATTGGGGAGATAAGGACACATTTGTAATATCTTAATCAATAAAGGGAAAAATACAAAAAAAATGAGAATATATTTTAAAATGGAAATGAACATGTTTCACTGATTCTAAGGTGCACATTTTAAATTCTCTGGAACTGGGACACATCATAACGAATGCCATGCCCTAGTTGAATCAGCTGGACTTATTTTTCTTGGTCGCGGTAAAATAACGATTGTGTTACAAGCAATGGCATCCTGAATTACAGGAACGGTGATCCTTCCTCAGAGTGCCTCTGGGGCGGATCATTTAACGTGCAGAGCACACGTGGGAAGCAAGGACTGTCCGTGGACGCCTCAGAGCAGGGGGGAGACCATCGAAACTGAACATGAAGGGCTGTTCTCTGAACTACTCGTCTCTGGTTGAGAAGATGTCAGGCTACGTTTAAATTCAACAAAAGAGAAGGGGAGGTTCCCTGTCCGGACGCCTGTGCTATGATTTCTCCTCCTGCTCCCTTTCCCCCTTTAGAGAGCAGCTTGATGCCTGTACCCCCAGGAGACTCCGACTTTGAGAGCAGGGACTGTGTCTTCCGTGTTCATCATCATGTTCCCAGCATCCAGCACAGCTTCCAGACTGTCCCTGAGCAACACATGGGTGTTCCATGGGGCCTGACGTAGGGGCTCTTTAGTACACACACATCCGCAGTGTCGTGGTCGAATAGTGGCTCCCAAAAAAGTATGCCTGTGTCCAAATGGCTGGAAGGTTGTCACCTTTCTGGAAAAGGGGTCTTGGAGATGTCATGAACCGTCTTTTCTATTTATCTGTATTGTTGGAAGTGTTACCGATGTCCCCTTTGCTTTCTCGCCACTGACCCCCTCCCCCCCACCCCCGCCCCTTCCAGGCCTCCCACACCATTGTCTGTGTCCCTGGGTTTTGCATATGTGCATATAAGTTCCCTGCTTGGGGAGTCCCTCCCCCTCCCCCACAGATGGCTCTAAGTGGGCTCTAAATCCAATGACAAGTGTCCTTCGAAGAGGAAAAAGGCGGAAAAAGGCAGGGGGAGATTTGAGACAGAGAGGAGGCCGAGATTGGAGGGATCCAGCCCGAGGCTAAGGTCTCCCTGAACCACCAGAAGCTGGGAGAGGCAGGCAGGGTCTCCCCTGGGTCTTTCAAGGGAGCGCAGCCCTGCTGGCAGCTTGAGTTTGGTCTTTGGGCCTCCAGCGCCGGGTGTGAGAGAGCCAGTTCCTGTTAGTTTAAGCCACTCAGTTTATGGAAACTTACTATGGCAGCCATAGGAAAGTACTGCACATACAGAGACACACATGCTCAGAAGCACACAGATACATGTAAACAGACACACATTTTGCTGGCCTACAGTTGAATAGATGCCAGGGGCCCACTGCGTAGGCAGATTTTAGACGACGATGACTGAGTAGTAGGCAGGGGAGAGCTTTATTCGAAGGCCAGCGGATACCACCCAGGGCTCGTGAGCAGGTCCCACGACCGAGCTTGTTCTTGAGGAGCGAGGGGCTGGGGAGGGTTGGGAAGGCGGAGATGCTGCTCTTGATGGGAAGGTACGGAGCAGAGGCCCCGAGGGGCGGAAGGAGAGGAGGCCAAAGGCACGCTGGGAGCAGATCCCGAAGAGCTGCAACGTGCTGAAGTCTGACCTTCATCCCGTGGCCAAACTGGTGGCTTTCCTCCCCCACCCCCACTTCGGGACACAAATGACAGATGGTGCCTTAACACGGCCCACTGGTGCCCCAGATTTTGATGAACTCCAATGTGAAAATGAGTGCATGATGAGGCGCAATGATGTGTGTTCTGATAACAGGTAAGCTACTCGGTCAGTACCAGTCTCCCAAGAGGCTCAGCGTACACTCTTCGGACCTTGTGCACGTCCTCTCAGCTAATGCTACATCACCTCTCTCTCTCTCTCTCTCTCTCTCTCTCTCTCTCTCTCTCTCTCTCTCTCCTCTTAGAATTTGAGTGAGAGACCACATTTTCATAGGGAAACTTGAGTCCACTCCAGTTTTTATTTTAAGAATCAATTATTTCACAGACTTTAACATTTTACAAAATACTACTTTTGAGCAGCAGAGTCTGCAGATAGCTCCGTGGCCACATCACACAACGAAGACCAGCGTGCGGACAAATGACTCGTCTCGGCCGCTGGAAGGCCTAGCACAGGGCCTGTGACCAACGCTCCTCAAATGCTCACGGATGCGAACCCCGAGGGGATGTTGAAGGCTTTAAATATGGGAGAGGCCCAATCAGAGTTAGTCTCTAGAACAGTGGTTCTCAACCTTCCTGATGCCACGGCCCTTTCATACAGTTCCTCATGTTGTGGTGACCCCCAACCATAAAATTATTTCCGTGGCTACTTCATAACTGTAATGTTGCCACTGTTATGAATCGTCATGTAAATATCTGATATGCGGGATGTATTTTCATTGTTACAAATTGAACATAATTAAAGCTTAATGATTAATCACAAAAACAATATGTAATTATATATGTGTTTTCCGATGGTCTTAGGCGACCCCTGTGAAAGTTAGGTGTGGCCATGGGATTTGCTCCATGAATAGTACACACACATTTTAAATTCTCTGGAATTGGGTCGTTTGACCCCCAAAGGGGTCGCATCCCACAGGTTGAGAACCGCAGCTCTAGAAGGATCGTTCTGGTGTCATTTTGGATGATCATTTCCAGCGGGGAAAATTTGGGATTATAGAACGACAACTGTTTGGAAACTGTAGGGTTATAATCCAGAAGAAAGGTGGCCTCTAGGCCAAACTAGATAAGTGGGAATATGGAGGAGGGGGAATGGGAAGTATTTTGAAGGTGAGCTTCCCAGGACTCATGCTTGAGTGTGGGGCATGAGAAAGAGGGCAGCGGCCCGTAGTTCGGGGGTTACTGGCTCCAGTGCTGATGCCGCTGGAGGTAAGAGCCCAGGTAGTGGCGGTGCATTTGCCGGGGAGGCTGTGGTGACACCTCCACAGTGTCAGTACTTTCAGCAGCGGAGGCGCATGTGTGCCTGGTGCTCCTACGTGTTTATCACGAGTTGGCTGGGGGGCCGGGGGGGGGCGGTCCTGCTCCAGGCCACTGTCCTCACTGCAGGACCCAGGCCTGTAGGCTCGGTTTAGGCTGCCACACGTGTTGAGGCAGGAGAGAGAACATGGCAGATCACACACTGGCTCCTTCCGGCTTGTGCCCAGAAGTGATGCACCCAACATCCTTCTAACATTTCCTTGTTAGCAGTCAATCCCATGGCTGCACCTAACTCTCAAGAGGGTTGAGATCTGTCGCCTTTCCATATGGAGTCTCCCCATGACTCCAATGGTGGTGGTGGTGGTGGAGGTGTGGGAAGGCAGCATGTTCATCTGTGATGTTGAACCTGAACTATTTCAGGGAAATTCAGTTCAGAAGAAGTTGGGAATCTGGGCTTGTGTCTCAAGAGCATTCAGGACTAGAGAAATAGTATGGGAAGGTTTCAAAGTAATGGTCATAAAACAAGCCACGGGAGTGGATAACTTTGATCAGGGAGGGAATAGAGCCTGTTCTAATATGGTAAAAAGTCAAGGTTAATAGTTTGTGGTTACAAATATGGCAACCCCGAGGCCATATTTTTTTTAGTAGCTTATTATAGACTTTTAAATAATTTTAAGTAACTGTTGGCATAGGGGTGGAATTAATCACTTAAACGGCATTTAGCTTTTTCAGACTCCCAAATCGCTGACTCGTGTTTAATCATTTAAAAGGTGCCTTTAGATTTTGCAGTAGGATTTCAGCCAATTTTCTGACCCGGCTGGGAAGAAAAAGTATTGCTAAGAATAGTCATTGTAGTTTGAATTGAAGACCAGTCATAAGTTGATTGATACTTGGATTGCTGAGTACTCAGAAAATTAGAATACCTTATAAAATCTTCTGACTGGCTGTGCTTCAGACAGAAACACAAGGTTAACCTTGCTGTAAATGATATTCTTGTTACAGCTCCAGTTACTGACAGAGGGAGGTGGTTAATAGCGCTTCTCCCCATTGGCCAGTGTGTGTGCATAAGGAGACATGCTTTTTCTAGTCCCCTTTCTCTTAAAAGGTTCTTGCGCTTTTGCCTACCCAACCTCCACCAGGGTCTCACTTTGTAAACTTTTTACATAGAGATATGTGATTACCCAAAATAACCTCTCCTCCCTTCAAGATGATGCACTTATCAGGAAAATCAAAAACAAACCAACCTGCTTGAGTGCGTGTCACCATTATTTCTTTGATGGCGGTTTTGCAGCATCACAAGAGCAGTGATGGTGAACATGACGATGCCTGTGTAAGTAAATGAAGTTTAATTTTAGAAGACAGTCTCCCCCCCCCCCCCAAAAACCGTGTCTTCACGGATCTACGCTGCCTCTGTGCGTCAACAACAGAATTGAGTCCTGGGGGCACAGGTCGGGAGCCCACTCTGCCTAAATTCTTCATCTCTGGACTCACCCTTGCCCTGAGCCGGCTGTTCTTGCCCTGTTCTCTTTGGAAGAAGTGTCGTTTGTTTACGCGGATGGGAGCAGAGATGTCCACAGAGGCTGGAAAACGAAGGTGGACATAGACCCGTCTCCCCGACACTCACTTAGCAGTGATCTGATGAGTGGTAGCTAGCTCCTTGAAAATGGGGCAAGAGAGATCCCAACATAAACCCCTGTAGACAGACAATGTCGTGATTCTTTATTATCTGTATCCTTGTCTCTGTGTGAAATGGCTTAACTTTCATCTTAGGCAGGATCTCCAGTGCCCTCTCAGAGCATAGCTGATCCATGCAAACCGCGTTGTCTATGTGACACGCATGGCGTAGAATCGGGAAAGGAAAGCCACTCCGTCACCACATAGAATGAATTTCAACAACGTCATTTCTACATGATGTGGTCTCTTTATCATCCACAGACCTTTTATCAGTGTCCCAGGAACAGTCTAGGGCAGGGGTGGGAACCTTTTTCCTGCCAAGGGCCATCTGGATATTTATAACATCATTCTCAGGCCGTACAAAATAATCAACTTAAAAAGTAGCCTGCTGGATTTGGCCACACATCTAATTAACTCACCCCTAATGCCTTGGCAGGGCCAGACCAAATGGTTTCGAGGGCCTTACACAGCCCAAGGGCCGGACGTTGCCCACCCCTGGTCTGTGGAAATAAAAATAGCAGTTGGGGAACATGCCTGCCATCTGTAAAGCAAGTGGGAAGAGCCAACAAGCATTAGGCCCCTGTCCTCAAGAAATTTAAAATTAAATACTGTATCTTTTATTACTAACTGTCACTTTTTACAACTGTTACAGTAGATTTGAGAGATTTAAGAAAGAGAACTGAGTCTATACCAGTCCTGAGAGGTATTAGTAATCATCGATTGCTTTTCTGTAAAGCAAGTCTAGTTGTATAGTAATACGATAAGAAAGGGAAAAGCTGCATTAATATGTTTATATTTCCTCTTCTAAAACGTTTACTTTTCTATAAAGTCAAAGAAACTATTTTTTAAAATATGGAGAGCAGGGTATATGATAATACCAGTAGGACTATGACTTAAAAATGTACTCGATGAATCGTTTTGTTGAATCAGCTTTTAAAATATGCAAAAGTACATTTTGAACATGGAGAGTTTCGTTGACGGTTCTGAGATAGCCAAGTTAACTGATTTCTTCTTCTTAGAGGCGTCCACAGGACATGGCAACCAGAAAGAACACTTCCATTCGGTAGGGCATATTCAGAGATTCTGTGGCTTCAAACATGCAGGAATGACTTGTGTAGTAGATGTAAATGAACGGCCAGAAACCCACTCCCTGCTTCCTACTGCATGTCAATTAGGCGGTGACGGGTGCCGCTGAGCCGAGGGGAGCAGTGTGGCTGCTGTTTGTGTGTGCTTGTCGCAGGAACAGTTTATAGAGTCTTAAATGCAGCGAAGTCACAGGGGCTTGGTGCTCTCTCTGCAGCCGCACAATCGGGGCCTTTGATGGCTGTGCAGTGAAGCCTGCTGGGATGATGCACACAGCACCCGGCCCTCGAGGAGACCCTGCGGCCCCATTCCCGTTGGGAGATGGCTTGGTGACACATCAGGGCGAGATTTTTCTGTTTTCGTTCTGCACATCATTGAGTTTCATCATCCGTGTGTCTTGAAAATTTGACTCCCACGTGTCCTTACCTGACAATTACAGGAATTGCAGGGGGATTTGAGGAAGTGCAATTTGAGGTGGAAGCAATGATCATCATTCCGGAAGCCTCAGACGAGTCATCTGATGAGCTCCCAGGTGTAGCGGCGAGTGGAAGACGGAAGCCCGGGGACCATATGCATCGCCTCCCTCCTGGTTTTTTGTTTGCTCGTTTTTTGTTTTGGAAATTGTTGTTCTTTGGGGTCCCAGTCAGACACGGGTCTCCACCCCAGTTCCCTCTTGACCTGCGTGTGAATTTGGGAAATGGAGGAGCCTTTTGGAATGTGTGTCCTTCTGTGAGGATCCCAGTTTCGTCTGGGCAAAGTCCCCATCGGCCCCTCTTGTCCCTGCAGAATCAATAGCAGTGCCCTCGCTCATGCTCCGAGGAGTCCTGGTTCGGGCAATGCGTTATATGGACGTCCTGTTTGTAAGTGAAATGGAGATAGTGTGAAGGTGTAACTGTATGCAATAATGTGGAAGTGAACATCTCAGTTGCTTTGGTTCACAAAATAAATTTTTTATTGCAGCAGGTAACCTTGGATTCCATAACATTGAATAATTATATTGCGTGCACACGTGTGTGTGTTTGTGTGTGTGTGTGTGTGTGTGTGTGTGTGTGTTACATACAAAATACACACTCTGAGGAAGTCTCTGAGAACTGGAGAGGCTATTTTGGTGTAGCCACTTACTGTGTGTTGGTAGTCAACCTCCTCCGTATTTTGAAAGGAATAATCACTCCTGTATTTACGACTTTGGAGATTTTTTTTCCTGCACAGCAATGTCCCCATCTGTTATTTGAGTAAATCTGAAGGCTGTGGTCCCCTCGTGGCAGAGCATCCGTTAACATTTAGAGCAATTCTCTTGATTAACAACATGCATTTTTTACCTCAACATGGCATTTCCTGGGATAACATGGTTTTGCTGCTGAAATGATGATTTGTGAGAGTAATTTCTATCATGCTACTGTGGTCTCATGATTTTTCCTAGAAAAATGAATCCATGTGATTTGATTCTAAGATTATTACACATGCTAATTAAATGTTTGGAATTTACTGTAGGGATTTTAAACTACGTGTAGGAGGTGGAAATAATTTGTTACGCTATAGTAAGATGGTTCATTTTGCATTAGAATATTTCAAGACATACTAACCCATATTTGCACGTTGAACTCGGGCAGTTTAAACTAGGAGTCGTTAGCTTCAGTCATTCAGCTTGACTTGGACATCTTTCATTGGAAGATTTCTGGTTTATATTCAAAGGCAAGAAATTATTAATTCATGAATTCTAAGTGTTACCATATACAATAATTTCCACAAGACTTTTTATTTATATCATTCCTTTTTCTCTTCTTTTTTTTTTCAAATAACAATGTGAATGTGTGAATGGTGCTCTGGGGGACTAGATACCTCCATTTGGGGAGCAGGCGCTGTTAAGCGTTTCTGGTGAATGATTTTACACGTACATCCTGGGCTACTTTTGCATAAATTCTTTTCTATTCCTATAAGATGCTCAGGAAGACCTCTCTGTGTTAGGTCTGCGACCTGTGTGTGTGTGTGTGTGTGTGTGTGTGTGTGTGTGTGTGTGAGAGAGAGATCCTGAATGAAAGCTATATACTTTTTTTAAAAAATCCTATCAGTCACCCTTTTTAGGACCGTGTGTAGACTTCCCACCTGCATCCCTTAGTCTGTACACACAGTGATGGCTTCTGCAAGATGAGGGATGAAGAGCGGGCTTGGGAGGGTCCCTATCAGATACACATTTTACAAATATTTCTCCCCTTCTGTGCGTTAACTTTTCACTTTCCTGATGGTGTCCTTTGAAACACACGCTTTACCTGTTTAGGATTTCCAGTTTTTCTGGTTTTTACTTTGTCACTGGTACTTTTGGGGTCACATATAAGCAATCATTGCTCCATCCAAGGTCACAAGAATTTACTCCTATATGTTCTTCTAAGAATTTGGTTTCAGCTCCTACATTTGTGTCTTTGATGCCTTTTGAGTTGGTTTTTACACAGGTTCCTTTTAAAGGATGGCTTGTCTGTGTTTCCCAGGTATTGGATCTTGAAAGTAGTGCTGGCATTTCCATCCACATGAAATGACATGAAAAGTTTAAGAGAAAAAAACTCCATTTTTCGCTTGTCTGTCTGGTCATTATGTTTGGCCATTTGGGGGGCGGGTCTGCTTTCTGACAGACAGTGATTGATTTCATCTTTCTAACCTAGCGCTATTGTGAGCCGAGGAACCCGCGGGTTCTCTGTCCCAGCCCCAAACACAAGTCAGTGTGTGCTGGAGACTCTTGCTCTGGTAACCTGAACAGTTGCTCTCTGTTCGAGAACAATATCTTCATTTTCTGAGAACATTTGTTTGGGATCTTTCCATGAAAGCATCTCTCTTCCCCTCGGCCTCTTATCTGCACAATGAACAAAGCCCCCGAGGAGAGGGCGAAAGCTGAAGGCGTGCAGGTGACTTGAAACGGCCGCGTCCCATATGCTGCGAGCGCTGGACGTGTTCATCCACATCCAACTTGAGTTTTGGGAAACTTCACAGCCTCTTCTCAGATACACGGCCCAGCTTTCTCGTAAAGCCGTCTGTTATTTTTACCCATTAAAACAGGATGGCTTTTAGTTCTCTACTAATGGCTTTCATAGGCTTACTTCCATATTCTGTGGTATTGCTCCGTCTGTAAATCACGTTTTTAAATGGGAGGGCACCAATATCTCTTGCAATAGAGTTTATATTTTAAAAGCTCCAGCTACCCCGGAGTTATCACATAGTGAATGAAAAGCTGAAGTGGAAGTTTGGCACTGAATGCAGATTCATTGGTTTCTATTTTTAGTTATTATTTTGAGCTTCTTGGCTTTTCAGGCTGCTAAAAACTTATTTTGTTGTAAGTCGCTTAGTTTCTCACTTTATGGTGAAGAATCTAAACATTGAGACTTCTCTGCTGATACTGTCACAGCTGTGGTGGAAAGGGTGGTGGGCATGATGGGAAGCCATAAAGCGGGTCGTCGGCAGGGTTGACTAGAACAACAGATCTTCAGTGCCGACGTGTACTTTCAAAGGATGGATCGGTCATGATCTTCATGTAGCAGTCCCGTAATTTAGTTTAGTATTTGGCCAAACTGCCTCTGGACAGTTCCGGGGGGGTTCTTCTGCAGAAAGAAACGGCCGTGCGCACCTGCCTGGAGAAGGGATAGAAGCCGCATTCAGCGCGCGGGGTTCAACTCGGGGGCCGCCTGTGACTGCTTCGAGCCGGCACCGTGACCTTCCCGAGGGCCCGGGTAGGCGGCACCGGGGCAGGAAGTTTGCTGTACTTCGGAATGCAAGCAAAAATATTGGCACATTGTGTCTCCGGGTGACTGTGAGAGCGCTCTCCCTCTGTGCAGGCCGGGCGGGTGGGCTCGGGGGCAGGGCCTGGCTGTGTGGGTTGGCTGGTGTCCGAAGAAGGAGCCCTTTCAGATTCAGATCTGATTCCAGAAACGGAGACACAGAACTGCCGTGGGGCCGCTTTGGTGGCAGGGGCTGAGGGCAGGCAGGCTTCTGGCTGTTGGCAAACCGCTGGTGTCTGGGTGAACAGCCGTTTAAAACAGAGGACACACTCCGCATGGGCCTGCGTCCAGCAGGTAGCGGCTGCCCCTCTGCTGCTGCTGCCATTGCTTCAAAAGCTGAGTCGACTTGGCCGGCGGCTACTAGGAAGCTCACATCCGTTGTGTTTTACTCTGCACCAGTGGTGTCTTTCTTTAAGTGGCTCCTTTAATGCTCACAGCAGCCACACACGTTAAGTTCTGTCATTGTCCCGCCTCCCAGGGGAGAATGGTACGTGAAGGTGGCCCATGGGTTCCTTAACGTGTAAAAGAGGACTAGTCATACCTCCCTCACCGGGGAGAGGAAAGATGAGTTAAGATGATGCCTGCAAAGCACGTACCACTGTGCCTGGCCCACTCTAGGAATTCAGTACAGATACTCCTACCCCAGGCCTTAGACGGCCTCTACTGGGACGCTGGATGTAGTAATTCTTAAGGATTCCGTGAAATTTTACATCTATAGCAACACTGTCTCCTGTTTAAATGTACTTTCTTTTATATAACAACATTTATAAAAAACACTTTGACTCTATATCATCATTATTGTTGTTTAATTATTACCATTATAACTACTTTTTTTAAAAAAACACAACATTTTCGCTTAAGTAGACTTTGCTGGATATCCTGTAAACCTAACCACCACATATGATGTTTCTATGGACAAAATGATCCCATTTTCTTTGCCGCCAATTTAATAATAAATGTTGGAAAGGAAACTTTTGCTTTGTTCTTTACATGTATATTTTGAGATAGTTTTAGATTTACACGTATCTAGAAATAGTACTGTGAGTTCTTATATAGCCTTAACCCATCTTCCCCTCATAACCGTAACGCAACTATCAAAACTACAACGTTAACATTGGCTCAATACTATTAATTAAACTGTAGACTTGCTTTGCATTTCACCAGTGTCTTCTCTGTTGTCCTTGTTCTAGTCCAAGATTGAATCAGGTCCCACATTACATTCAGTTCTCCTGTCTCTTGAGGCCTCTGTGATGTGTGACAGCTCCTTGGTCCCTCCTTGTGTTGGGTGATCTTGACACTTTTGAAGAGTTCTGGTCATTGAGCTTGTAGAATTCTCCTCAGTTTAGATTTGTCTGATGGTTTCTCTTGACGAGATTGCGGTCGTGCGTTGTTGGGGAGGATGATCTCTCAATGAGTTATATCAGGGATATGTGATGTCAATACAGCTATTACTGGTGAAGCCGGCCTTGATCCTTTGGGCACGCTGGTCTCTGCCAGGCCCCGCCCTTTTTTTTAAGAGTCAGTCTAACCCTAACTGGTTTGGCTCAGTGGATAGAGCGTCGGCCTGCGGACTCAAGTGTCCCAGGTTCGATTCCAGTCAAGGGCATGTACCTTGGTTGCAGGCACATCCCCAGTAGGGGGTGTGCAGGAGGCAGCTAATCGACGTTTCTCTCTCATCGATGTTTCTGACTCTCTATCCCTCTCTCTTCCTCTCTGTAAAAAATCAATAAAATATATATATATTTTTTAAAAGTGTCAGTCCATTTTATTTTTTTGATATTTATATATGCATATTTATTGATTTCAGAGAGGAAGGGAGAGGAGGAGAGAAATGGAAACATCAGTGATGAGAGAGAAATATCTATTGTCTGCTTCCGGTACCCCTCCTGTTGGGGATCGAGCCCACAACCGGGGTACATGCCCTGACAAGGAATTGAACCAAGATCTCCTGGTTCATAGGTCAACGCCCAACCACTGAGCCACACCAGCCGGGCTCCCCCAGGCTTCTTCTCCATAAGGTTACTGTTGTTCCCTTTGTAAGTAACAAAAACTTCGGGGGAGACTTGAGACTGTGCCTGTGTCCGGTTTCTCCTCAGACTTGGCCCACTCGTTGTAGATCCATGGGTTTTGCCTGCAGCACTGACGGTGGCGGCTTGAAACAGTGGTTTTTCTATTTCCCTCATCGCTTCTACACTTAGAATTGGAA